GATAGATAGATAGATAGATAGATAGATAGATAGATAGATAGATAGATAGATAGATAGATAGATAGATTAGATAGATAGACATTTGTAGGCTATGTATTAGACAGATAAAATATAATTGTCTGCTAGTTGCTCTGTTTTGCGCAGAGATCCGGGCAGTGAGTGGTCAGTAATGTGCAGAGCCATCGGCTCTGCGCAGCATGCCACCAACTGTCAGCAGGCGGGTGCGTGCATTGTGTGTGATCTGTGCATTGTGTGTGATGTGTGCTGGGTGTGTGATCTGTGCAGGGTGTGTGAAGTGGTTAACAGTCTGCACACATGAAAACTTCCTCTCACAGTTCTCTTCTCCACTAAGAATAGATTTCTGGAGGCCGCCGCAGGCTCTGATCGTAACGACATTCTGATTTGTACCCACCGCGCACATGGACGCGGAGAGTGTGAAATCACCACCGAGCGATGACAGATGTCGGCATGTACAATACTCACAATATATATACATCTGTTGTATTTATTCTTACAGATCCAACGTATTCTGCTGAAGTCTGCTACAGGAAGGACGGAGAGAATAAATGATAACAATCCAAACCTGACTGACACAGGCGAAATGATGAGACCTCCAACCGTCAACAAACAAGAGTCTCAGACCATAATAACAACATGTCACTTCTATAGAAAATGAATGTATCACTTAAAAAATATATTTTCATAAAATATTATATACTGTATCTGTGTATTTCTGATTGGCATTGTAAACTGTAACAAGCTGGACCTCCCAATACACAGAGAATGCTGACTGCATGCGGGATAGAATGAGGGAACTCTGCATGTGCTTTTCCTCTTATCAGAGTCACTAATTACATACAGCTCATACACAGGTATAGGAGAGAGGAAAACTTATTGCAACAGACAGATAGATGGATAGACAGATAGATGGATAGACAGATAGATAGATAGATAGATAGATAGATAGATAGATAGATAGATAGATAGATAGATAGATAGATAGATAGATAGATAGATAGATAGATAGATATCAGTACTGTATTGCAGGAGTGAGAATGACCTTTAATAATTGAAGAGAAATAGATTCCTAAAATGTGGTATGTCTGCATTTATACCATACAATGTTATTTAATTAGATATCTAATGTTAATGAGATAATTTAATGGATAAATATAAAATAACATAAAGCAAATGCTAGTAAATAATACATACTGGGTCATGTTTGTTTCTATTGTTGTGTTTTATTGATAGAAAGATAAATAGATAATTTTAGATGAATATAAAAAATATATAGATAGAAAGAGAGAGAGAGATAATATAGATAAAAGAGATAGAAAGATAGATAAATGGATGGGTATATATTTTAGATTAATATTATAAGTAGATAGATCGATACTATAGATAAAAGATAGATGGATAATATAGATTAATATAATAAAACAAGAGAGCGAGAGAGATGAACGATAGATAGATAGATAGATAGATAGATAGATAGATAGATAGATAGATAGATAGATAGATAGATACAATTAGACAGATTCCTAACATATATTAATATATAATAAAATCTTACTACAGTTAATTATATATTTCAAAAGATAATTAGCTAAGACAAAAAGTTAGATAACCAAAAACAGTAGAAAGTAGATAGAATGTGGATGGATTGATTGACAAGTAGATTACAGATAGATAGATAGATCGATATGAATGATATAGTAATACACACAGTCACAGTACATAGAAGGTAATGGGACATAAATACACAACAATTAGAAGGTAATACAAGGGCATACCACCCAGAGACTTACCCGTGTCACAGTCCATGTGCCACCAACACGCTACATGACCCTTCTCCTTGTCCACAATGTGAGCCAAGACGGATCCACAATATTTGGGGGGGTCGAGTATCTTCGACATGAAGTTTTAGGGGCTCTGGCCGGATTTTGCCTGCATGGTTGATGCATGTAGAGAATCCACTTTGCAAGGGGGAAGGTGGAGTTAGTCTACAGTAAGGGGAGGGAAGGTTAGTGGAGTCCAGTACAGGAGAGGGGGGGGTATTTCCTTCTCTCCTTGGTCTGAGGAAGTCTGGGTCTATAGATAAGAGACAGGGGTCCGGTCTGCCCAGACTGATAAGAACACAATCCCTCAAATCCCTCCCTCCATGCCAGAGTCATTTCATATACTATTATGTGTGGGTCGCACTTCTTTTTTTACATTAAGAAATAATGGGTTGCGGATACTTTTTGGGCAGTGCATTGCTGGAAATGTAATATATTTAGCCTGTGCACTGGTTGTGCAATACGGTTGGGATAAACTGGCAAAACCACCATAAGCACCATTGATTACCATAGCAGAGCAGACAGTAGATTGGGGGAGACCCAAAGCAACCAATCAGAAATCAGCATTCCAAGTAGACCAGAACTTTAACAAAAATGTAATATATTGCAGCTTACCGATCCTTAGATGTGGCGGCTGCATTTGTGTTTTTCAGGCTTTTTTCCCTGTTAATACATTTCCTGTTCTCGGGTTGTCACCCTAGTACATGAAGTGTTTTAGGACTACAGACCAACCCTCATCTCGATAACATGGGTGTGATACAGGTGTTCTGTAGTCTACCGAGAGACCTGGGAACCATGCTAGATGATAACAGTCAGCAGAGGCGGAGACCACGAGAAGTTCACAGAATTTCTGGCAGAACCAACAAGTATTTTTTTGCACTTATTGAACAGATACAACAAAAAGCTTCCGGTGGTTTATTTAAGAGACAAAAGGGAAGCAAATAAAAGAAGTTGATTGTTAGGCCTCATTCAGACGGGTGGTAGGCTCCACCCCTCAGAGGGCGGTAGAGCAGCGGCTGCCAGGCATTTAAGTGGCGATACCGCTGCCTCCTTTTTTTTCATCCCAGTGGGGATTTTCATCTGCAATACCACGCCACAACCGTGTTACTTACTAGTGACCCCTGAACTCTGTGTCACTACTGACACCTGAACCCTGTGTTACTTACTACTGATCCATGCGTTACTTACTACTGACCCCTGAAATCTGTGTAATTTATAACTGACTCCTGAACCCTGTGTTACTTACTACTGAACCCTGCGTTACTTACTACTGACCCCTGAACTCTATGTCATTTACTACTGACCCCTGAACCCTGCATTACTTACTACTGACCCCTGAACTCTGTGTCATTTACTACTGACCCCTGAACCCTGTGTTACTTACTACTGAACCCTGCGTTACTACTGACCCTTGAACTCTGTGTCATTTACTACTGACCCCTGAACCCTGTGTTACTTACTACTGAACCCTGCGTTACTACTGACCCTTGAACTCTGTGTCATTTACTACTGAACCCTGTGTTACTTACTACTGACCCCTGAACTCTGTGTCACTTACTACTGACCCCTGAACTCTGTGTCACTTACTACTGAGCCTGAACTCTGAGTTATTTACTACTGTGCCCTAGTCATGATCCTTGCACGCCATGCGTTACCTACTGATGACCTCTGTACTCCATGTGTTACTGACTGATGACCCCTGTACTCCATGCATTACCCACTGATGACCTCTGTACTCCATGTGTTACCTACCAGGGAACATGCGGTCAGTGCAGGCAGGTGGGGCAGAGCCTCACCTAGAATTATGGAGGAAAAAGCTGTCAGCTTCATGTCTGAAGCTGACAGCTTTTTCTCCATTCAGATCGGCATCTAACTGGTTACACAGCAGGGAAATCCTCCCCGCTGTGTAACCTGTCATGGACAGAGCAAGTGAGGGACAGGAAAGTTCCTCCCTCCGTCCTTTACACTAGCTTGGGGACGGGTTGGGAGTGGGGCTTCATCCAGCAGGGGGCAGGGATTCGTCGGGCAGGCGCGGGGGTTACCTATTCATGACCTCTGTAATCTTAATTCCAAAAAGTTTAGGAAATTTAGACAACTGAGGAGAAAAGAGAACAGAGGCATTTGGTTCCAAAAGTGGGACCAACAGTTGCAATGGATGATGCTGCATCCCAGTGAATTTAATTCCTGTATCATGAAGCAGCAGACAAAATGGCTTCCTCCAGCTCAGGCCATACAAGCGACGTTCTTTCTCTTGAACATGACCTGTGTACTATTATAATGGCTTTTCTGCTATGGAGTTAGGGTCTATCCCATCTGCAGTGCAGCAGCATTTACAATCAGCCTATGTCCAGTTCTGCACGAATATGGAGCTCTGTACCCCGGGAGGCCAGACATTGCAAACGTTGCTAGGTAACGCTAAACAATTTGCAGAAAACTAATTCTGCGGACGGTGGTTCTTTTCACTGGCAATAAAACAGGTGGGAAAGGTAATGAATGCTCTTTCCTTGAAGCATTAAAAAAAAATATATTGCTGCTGATTTACAAAATTAAAATATGAGCAGGGATAAACCGCGACAATAAGTTTGGTTTGTGTGCCTGCATATGCAAACGCACATGTGTGAACGCGATCTGGGGAACTATTTAGCAGGTGGCTCACTGATGTTCAGAGCATACGGAGCAGTCTTAGTTCGCCGTGCACTTTGAGCATTCATATAATGTTACTTTAAAGTAGATATGCCGATAACATTTGAGCCAAATATTTATGAAATGTTGTCACTGACTAACAATAGACACATTGATCTGTCATTGTGCTGTGTGGGTGTGTCGATAACACAATAGGCCTAGTGATCAGGTGGGATGCTGTGTCATAAAATAGGGAATGGTGTTCTTAGCTCTGTTTTCCTAAGTTGTTCTGGTGTAGCATGTAAAACTGTCCCACATCGGCTCAATAGATCAGGAAGTGAGTGAACACATACCGTCGCTCGCTCACTTCTCGATCCATGTTAACTAAGGACAAATTACTAGCTCTCCCTTTACTTCCTGGAGCTGTAGCTTGCGATATACTGAGCTTTGGGTGACGGGAGGACGCTAGTTGGTGTCCTCCCGTGACCCTGGGAGGACTATGGGGAAAAGCACTGACCCCATAGTTCTCTTTTAAAAGCCAGGGGCCGTTCCTTTTCTTTTTTGTCTTACCTTTTAAGTAGATCTAAAGCCAACGCTCTTTAACCGCCTCCCGGCCGGCCGTTGTGTAGAGACGGGCAGCTGGGTGCTTCCTAGATGTAGCAGGCCTTGTATATACGGCCTGTTAGCCCCGCCCATTCACGAGCGGGAAACAAGCAAAATTTTAAAAAAAGCAACGATGCCTGTTTACATACAAGGAATCCGCCAGCTAGAGAGCCAGCGGATCGCTTGTATGGGGTGCTGATCGGAGCACCCCTCCGCGGACCTCCCCTTCCACTGGTCCTGGGCTCCACTTTGCTCGGTGCGAGCCCGGGACCAGCGTGGTGTTTCTGTGACAGGTTATCAGAGGGAGATTGGTGCACAATCTCCCTCCAGTCCCCTCTCCGGTGTCAGAATGCAGAAGAGATGTATATTACATCACTTCCGCATTCTTGTTTCGCTCTCCAGAAGCTTCAGAAGCTGATGAAGCAGATCTCTACTTCATCAGCTTCTTTGGGGGTCCTAGGTGACATTAAGGGTCCTGGAGACCCCTGATGTCTCCATAAAGAGGACATGTCACATCTCTTTGCTGTCACATAGGGGGGCTTTCTTAGCCCCCTATGTAATACCAATAAAGTTAAGTGAAGAAAAAAAATAGGGGAAAAAATGAAAGTTGCAAAAAAAAATGAAAAACAATTTTTAAAAAACAAAAAACACAAGTCCCCACCCATACATACACGAATGCGTCAGGTGCGCATATGTGTGAAAACGACGATTGCGCCCATTATGCCGCACGTGTTACATATCTCTGTGAACGTCGCAGTTAGAGCAATCATTTTAGGGCCATCAATCACGGATAACACTAAACTGATGAGCGGTAAAAGCTTTTAAAGCGTCGCCTATGGCCAATTTTAAAGCTCGACATCTTTGGTGCCTATTTACCTGACATGACCCCGTCTTTTATGAATAAATGTATTATAACATTCCGTTAAAAAAAACTTTATTTTTTCAACATTTTCAGTAATTTTTCCTTAAAATAGTAAAAAATAAAACCCCAGTGGTGATTAAATAACACCAAAATAAAGCTCTGTCTGTCCCCAAAAAATGGTATAAAATTCATTTCAGTACAGCGTTGCATTACGGAATAAACGTCAAAGTACTGCAGCGCTGAATACTGAAAAATGGCCTGGCCAGGAAGGGGGTGTAAACATCGCGGTCAGCAAGTGGTTAAGTAAAATGAAAATTAATATAAAAATAAATCCCCCCCCCCAAAGGGACAAAAAAAATGAACGGGTTTTAATGATTTCTCGCTGTATCTAAAAAACAACAAAACATTGACTTTAGATACAATTTTAAACTTTTTTACTTTCCAAATATGATTCAGATGAAATGTTAGTCCTGGAAACGATGGAGCAGAGTCTTGCAATGTGTATCATTTGAACCCAACCTGCTTGCTAAGCTCCAAGGTACAATATCCAAACATCTATCCATAAGATACAAAAGAATGTTCCAACGTACCTGTCTTGATGGCCGGCAGATGGAACTTTCTTCATTTCATTGTCACATTTTTGCATTCCCAAAATCCATATTTCCAGTGCTGCAGATCCGGCTTTTCCTACATCCTTGTGAGCATATTAGCACAGCACTGTTCAATGCCTCTGTGCCCGATACTACACAGAGCGTGCACTGCCCGCCTTTCTCTGCTTTCGGAAATTAAAGCAGAACTCCGGGATAAGCAAATATTGTCCTCATACAAGAGTCATGTGTGTTCTTCTTAAATCTCGGTGAGCTTTGTGTATTTCTTCCAGATCTGTGCAGTTATTCAGTGTGAGACCTAGAGCTTCCTGTAATAAAGACCGGTCACTGCT